TGCTGGCAAAATTGATACTGACCTCCAGCATTGGCAGTGCCACCTGAGATGTGCTCGTAGTCAATGTGGATTTTAACCAAAATTTTTTTTAAATCGAATTTCGTGTCACGAGACTACCTAAGAATCTCGGACGAAGACAAGACTGGAGGCCGCTAGTATATGACGATATTATATGCATTTCAGTGATAAGAGGACAGTGTAAAATCAGTGGTTATTCAGAAAAATAGGAACATGTATTTCTATAATCTGAGAGCATGGATTTATGGCTCCACATTACCTCACAATCTTATCGAATATAATGAAGGGTTTGAAAGTTATTTACCATCTTCCTGGTCAAATCTTTTATCTGTCATTTATAAAGTGACAACTACTAGTGGCTTGTCGTAAAGTAGGAAAACCTCCAATAATACAATGTACCAGTAAGTCTCTCTCTCTCTCTCTCTCTCTCTGTGTGTGTGTGTGTGTGTGTGTGTGTGTGTATGTGTGTGTGTGTGTGTGTGCGCGCGTGTCTATTTAAGTATTTTTTATGCGAGCTTTTCCAAGCATATACTTGCAAAGTGTGTTTTGAAAAAAGGATTTTGATTCTTCACATTGTACATACGGATTCTTGACAGTATTTTGTAGTGTTTTATAACTAATTTATGTGTGAAAAAGTGTAACAATAGTTCTTATTTGGTTTAAAAGTGCAGAAAATACAAAATATTTGCATGAACGCATGATAAAGGTGACCGTATGTCAAATTCTCACAAATTACTGTCTAAAGTATTTGCAATTAAATGAAGGTGTGTACTACATCTCCAAGTTGCGAAAAAGCAATTTGCCTATTATGAGGTGTGCCTATGCGGTGTATAATACTTCGTATTTTAATAACTGGTCTAGGATTTCAGTTCTTTGTACTACCCCTTAGAGTCCAGTATACTATCACATTAAGTAAATTTAGGTCATCGCTGGGAGTAAAAAAAGTAGCTTCAGTCAGTCTAGATGTACTATTTTATATACAAGTTGACAAAGTTTTCTGAAAAGCTTAATCAACTTGAGGTATCTAGACGATCATTTACAATGGGTGTTTAAAGCTGCCAATAAATTTTCTTAAAATCATCCACAACCTTACTAATCAATGTATAGTATCACTTAAGTATGGTGTGTAAAATTAAAATTTTTTTTTAAAACGCAGTTACCAAGTTGATGCTTGGAAAGCTCGCATAAGGAAAATACACGTATATACACACACAAATGATTTACTTAAATATTAGGTTGTTTAAGGGTTCTTAACGATTTAAAGATTCGTTAGCAATTGTAACTAAAGAGATGGTAGATAAAATATCTGCTCAGAAAGATGGTAAATAACTCTCAAAACCCTAAAATATACTTGGTAAGGTTATATAGGTATGTGCAGCTATAAATTTATGGTCTCAGACACTAGAAATACATACTTCTAACTTTCTGAATTTCCAACGTATTTTACGCTGTTTTTTTTTCACTTAAACGTATATAATATCATGCATGGAATATTTTACGAAAATAAACATATTTTAAAGAAACCTGTGAACAAACTCTTAAAAGAAATTTTAATTATTAAAATTTTTTCTTTATTATACATTTTCAAAAAAAATCCATTTTTTAGGGATCTGCTAGATCTGCACGAGAAACATTTTCTAATTTTTTGGACTTTTATATAATCTAATACTTTAGTAAAGTAAATATTTTATTACAAAGCAAGAAATGTCAATATCTTACAAAATCATTGAGAGTGTTGTACATAAATTTCTGGGCTGACTCTATACTACGTTTTGGCAAATATTTAACATTAGATTAGGAATTAAAATATTCTTTTCAACTGTTTGCATAGATTTTATTAGAATCTTACTTGCGTAAGAAAACTTTTACTTATTTTCTTAGCTTTATATTTCAAATAATTTTCACCGTCTTTACGTAGTTTTTACGTCGGTAAATAGCGTTTTTGCGTTTTAGGCAATGAACAACGTATATGTTTTTATTTTAATTTAACTAGATTATAAAATCTAACAATCAGCATTTTAAATCATAAATAAGTTTGTTTAAATTCCAGTGCTCTCAGTCAACGTACAATATTATATGCTTACTTGTATTGTAACCATTAAAATTATTATTTCTTTTTCTACGAATCCAATACCTGCATGAAATCAGTTAGAATTTTTTTTTTGTTATTTGTAATACACGTCGTAAACAGTGTTAAGTCGGCCTGGTAAGTTATAAATAACAGATTAAATAATCTTACAAATTATTGAAATGTTTTGCTCTGAAATAAAACATTCACTTACTTGATTATTGCAATAATTGTATTTTAGATTCAGGATATATTTTAAAAACCTGACTATTTTTTGTTGACCTTATTGTTTAGTGAATCTTTTATACTATTTTGTTGAATTTTTTTTTGCTTTGATATCTATTATATTGCTTCATTATTTTAAGTATATAAGAACTCCCTTACACGTCACAATACTTGACAAAATTTAGTAATTTATCTTTTTTTTTATTAATCTTTTACTTTGTGTAGTGCAGTTTTATCTTACCTAAATAATGTAGTTTCTGCCAAGGGAATAACTACTGTAGTACGTACTTCTGTATTAGGACATTAGTTTTTTACTTATGCACTTTCCTTGAAATGTATACGCAAAAGACTTACTTAAATTTGATTATCTAAGTACTAGTGACATTTAAGTCAACCGATTTTTAATTTACTTATGATATCTGCTGTATTTCCTTCACAACACTTTGTTTGGCTGTCTGATTTTATGTCCTCGTACTTTTGCTTTATTTCATAGTGCAATTTTGTGTTTATTTTTTAATTTCGTTACACATCTTTTTGATCTTGTCGTTTATGATCTACCATCTCGCTCCTTTTTTTTTTTTTTGTTTGCTATTTTCTATACATGTTTCAATTTATAGTTGTATTTTTGTCTTTCTTTATTTTATTTTTTTCTTTTTTTCTTAGATAAACGCTTAAATATCACATAATTTTTTGTCATTTTTTCTTGTACTTTAGCCTTTGACGTCACATAATGATTTTACATTTTAAAATGTCATCGACAGTCAGAAAATACGTTTTTATTGAAAAATTAAAAGTATAACTTTAACTAATAGCCTCAGTTTGTTGATAAAAAATGATAGTTTAAGAACACCACTAGAAAGCTATAAATTTATATTAAAGAACACTGACATTATCGTGGTGGATACTAATAAAAAGCAAGTCAAACTTTTTTTGTACACTAAAGGACTGTTCTTCTTTTTTTAGGTAAAAAAAAGTCATTCGTTGTTTTGTATCATTAGAAATATACAGCCGTTTAAAATTAAAATATGTTGCACTTGCTGTTTAATAGCCTCTTTACTAACATTTATAATATGATGTACTCGTACATTAATTACTTTCTTGAATCCTTAGTTAAATCATCCAAGTTACAAGCAGTAGAATCAATCGTTAAAGTCGATCTTTATGACAAAATAGCTCACTATGCGGAAAAAATTATTGAGAACCTGTAGAATTTCAAATTTACTAGCTTTCTTTTGCTATTACTTTAACTTTAATGGGCAGAGCATTTGTCCAGTAAGCCAAAAGTTATAATCTTAAATTATACTTGGGAATCTTTCTTCTGGTTTCGCGTTTCATTTTTTTAAAGATATGTACGGTCGTAATTTATGTCTAAAAATTTAATGATTTTATCACACACACACGATCCAAGCAAGAGAGAGAGAGAGAGAGAGAGAGAGAGAGAGAAAGAGCGACCAAGTAGTAGAGATACTGGGGATAGCGACGGTGCTTCTTGGGTGAAATACTTGGATAGATTACTAGAGCTTTGCTCTAGGTACCCAAGGCCCCGAGAACGACCTAACCCTACGTGACTCTTTCAGGATAGGCATAGAGCCCAGGACTAAGATTTCATGGCTGTACTAATCATCTGTGCTAGTCTAACTAAGTGCACGTGGTAGAGAATTTGTGCGAGAAAAGTAAAAAATTCTTTAAAATATAGTTTGGCAAAATGTAAAGTTAAAAATATTATTCTTAAGTGTTAACAGTCTTTGTATAATTTTTTTAAATAAAACATTTAAAAAAATGTACAGTTAAGTGATCTGCTTTTTCATAAGGGTATTTCTTATTTTCTTAAGAAGTTGTTTTGAAACTATCAGAAGATTTGATAAAAGAGCACAGTCTTGTACTGGCCAGCCCCCATATTGNAAATTTGATAATTGTGTTTAAGTGACTTCATACTACCTACAGACATTTTGAAAGTGTTATATGTTACTTCGTTACTGTAATCATTATTTTTTCTCTTCTTTTAATTTTCAAAAGTAGTACAACCCTATTTTCATTTTGAACTTGCAATAAAGTCCTTCTAGTTATTAAGAAAGTAAAAAATTTAATCTGCTCGTTGCAGAATTTTTCTATTCAATGTTGTTTTATTTTTTAACTTTGAGTTAAATAATAGAACATGTGAAATTAAGAATATTTACCTTTTTGATACGTTTTGCAGAATTATCTCTCATACTGCACCCCCACTATTCTATACGTCGTGGCTATTAGATCTTGAAAACTTTGAAAATTCTCTATTTATAGGACGTTTTTTGTTGATTTCTTAGATAAATTTGTAAATCAATCACAGAATAGGTTTTACAGTAGATGAAAAATTTTTGTAACATTTATACTGCTTTCCTAGGACTTAGTTATTGTCCATTAATGTATTTTATTATTCATCGCAAACTTTTTCTCTGTAACCAGTTCATTTTTGAGATCGAAAAAATTTTTTTTTAGTCTTTCAATATTATATATCGTAAATACAATACATACCATTGATGGACGCTGAGTACTAAATCGTTATAGAACATTGTGCTTTATTGATGAAAATATACTAAAAAGCATTAGTATTCAATTGTTTACTGTCATATTTTTATGACCCTGTATCAATCTATACTTATTTTTATCTAATGTATTATTCTGCTATTTGTACTAAAAATATTATTTTTAGGAATGCTGGTATGCTGTGGTTTTAATAGGCATTGTCTTTATTATTTTTATGGGTGCCTTTATAAAGTGCTGTGCAGTTCATACTCCATCTAGTAACCCCAAAAAACCACCAGCAAGACACCTTAGTGAGACACTACGAAGACCGATGAATACCTTGAGAAGAATGGTAAGAAAAAAAATTATACCACTTTTGATGTAATCAATGTTTGTACGGTAATCGTATTATTTAATTACATTGAGACTCTTAAACAACATCTGTTTGAAAAAAATGTAAGATTTTTACGAGGTCTTGACAAGCAAGCATGCTATTGAAAATATCTTCACCGAAGAAATTCTGATCTCCTCTCTAAAACAGTGTCTTTTTAATATAAAGTTCACAAATCTTATACTGTCCGCTGCTTGTACTATGTCTCATCTACTGTAAATTTTTTTATGCTTTCTCCTTTGTCAGAGATGACCTACTTCTACGAAAGATAGTGGTTGTTGTCCAATAGAAAGTTTAAAGCTAGCTCATATCTTATTTTTTTAATGTAACTCGGACCGGAAAATTGTTGGACAAAATTTCATGTTGTGAGCATTATTATACCTGAACAATCTTAGTGTTTACAACCGCACCAACTTTTGTGTTTTATTTTTATTTATAAAATAGGCCAATTAATGTTCATGTAATAACTACTTACCTACACCAATGAAATTTATTTTTTTTTAAATATTTTTTTTACGTATAATCGGCGATCCGAGCTACTTTGCTCTTTTTACACACGGCAATGAATTCGCCCTCCAACATATAAACACTAACATTGTTTGCGTATTGGTTCTTAATCTTAGAGTTTCCTCGGTACAGATAATATTCTTAGCCGATTGTTACCACTGTCATTTAACCGGGGTGATACTCAAAGAAAGGAAAGTCGTAACCTCTAGAATTACATCGTGATATTTTCTTTACACCATTGTTTGGATTTATTGTACTATTTTCTTTCTTAACATAGGTATATACTGTTTAAATTTGCTTAAGGACTGCCAGCATCTTCCCTGTATTATCCTTTGGTCTCTTTTTTGCTGGTATTGGCCATATTTTACATGAAGTGTTACATTTCTCCTTTCTTGTGAAAAATTTTTTCTGTTTATTAATACAGTTGTTTGCACTGAGTCACTAGTATAGTAGTCCTTGCACAATTTATAAATGTTTAATTATTTTTCCTGATTTCAATATTATTTATGTCTTCTAAAAGTTAATTAATTACGAAAAACTCTCTGAATTAATTCAGTGTCATAGTTGTATGAGATTTTGGAAATTTGAAATTGTATGAGATCGAAAATTTTGGAAATTTGATAATTGTGTTTAAGTGACTTCATACTACCTACAGACATTTTGAAAGTGTTATATGTTACTTCGTTACTGTAATCATTATTTTTTCTCTTCTTTTAATTTTCAAAAGTAGTACAACCCTATTTTCATTTTGAACTTGCAATAAAGTCCTTCTAGTTATTAAGAAAGTAAAAAATTTAATCTGCTCGTTGCAGAATTTTTCTATTCAATGTTGTTTTATTTTTTAACTTTGAGTTAAATAATAGAACATGTGAAATTAAGAATATTTACCTTTTTGATACGTTTTGCAGAATTATCTCTCATACTGCACCCCCACTATTCTATACGTCGTGGCTATTAGATCTTGAAAACTTTGAAAATTCTCTATTTATAGGACGTTTTTTGTTGATTTCTTAGATAAATTTGTAAATCAATCACAGAATAGGTTTTCCAGTAGATGAAAAATTTTTGTAACATTTATACTGCTTTCCTAGGACTTAGTTATTGTCCATTAATGTATTTTATTATTCATCGCAAACTTTTTCTCTGTAACCAGTTCATTTTTGAGATCGAAAAAATTTTTTTTTAGTCTTTCAATATTATATATCGTAAATACAATACATACCATTGATGGACGCTGAGTACTAAATCGTTATAGAACATTGTGCTTTATTGATGAAAATATACTAAAAAGCATTAGTATTCAATTGTTTACTGTCATATTTTTATGACCCTGTATCAATCTATACTTATTTTTATCTAATGTATTATTCTGCTATTTGTACTAAAAATATTATTTTTAGGAATGCTGGTATGCTGTGGTTTTAATAGGCATTGTCTTTATTATTTTTATGGGTGCCTTTATAAAGTGCTGTGCAGTTCATACTCCATCTAGTAACCCCAAAAAACCACCAGCAAGACACCTTAGTGAGACACTACGAAGACCGATGAATACCTTGAGAAGAATGGTAAGAAAAAAAATTATACCACTTTTGATGTAATCAATGTTTGTACGGTAATCGTATTATTTAATTACATTGAGACTCTTAAACAACATCTGTTTGAAAAAAATGTAAGATTTTTACGAGGTCTTGACAAGCAAGCATGCTATTGAAAATATCTTCACCGAAGAAATTCTGATCTCCCTCTCTAAA